GCAGGCTCCCTACAGATACAGTGAAACCCAGAATGTGAATCTGATCATTTGAAATAAAATCTAATGACATTCCTGTTTTTGTAATCCCATAGTAGTGCTTTTCTTTGTCTTTAATCATCTGAACATTAGTATGCTACAGATAAAAGGTAAATGTACTACAATCAGTTACTTCTGTTGATCAAAATATATGCAGAAAGTAAAAAGGAACGCCTTAAAGCAAATGAAAATATTTCTGATGCAGTTATATGAGTTCTTATAGCCAGGATATATAAAGAATTTGAAAAACCCGGGTAGTAAAAAGACCATTATCCCCATAGAGAAATATTCAAGACACTCGAACAAATACTTCACAAAAGTAGAGATCAGAATGGCCAAAAACATACTCAACTTCATCAGTAAACAGACAGATACAAAATAGAACAGTATGGAAATGGCTGAAGTTTTAAAAGACTACCAACAAGAGTTGTTGAAGATGAGAAGCAGCTGGAACTCTGATCCACCGCAAGTGGATGTGTGGTGAAATGACCTTGAAAACCAGTCTGGCTAAATACCTGCACTTCCTCTGATCCAACTTTTCCACTCTTAGGAACATCAAAGAAAAATGTCTATCAGGAGTCAGGTACAGTAACACTCTTTGCAATGATGTTTTGTAAGAGTCCATGCTAGGAAAACAACCAACCAACCAACAACTTTCACTGGTAGTTAATATTTTCGTATACTGGAGTACTAAACAGCAGTAAAAATATATCTAAAGCCAGAGTCACCATCAAATTCAGTGAATTAAATTCAGTAAAAGAAGCAGACATAGAAGAACACGTGTCATAAGAGCATTCCATAAAATTCCCTAAAGTAGAAAAAGCTAAACTCTAGTGTTATGAGAGATAACAGCATTGTTTTTCTTTTAATTTTTATTGGAGTATAGTTAATTTACAGTGTTGGGTTATTTTCAAGTGTACAGCAAGGTGAATCAGTTTTATATATATTATATTTAAAATATATTTACATATAAATATATAGAAAAATAAGGAATATCAGATAGCTTTCAGGTGAAGGGAATGGATGGTTCTGGGTGGGCGATGGATATTTCTTTGTGTTAATCCCTTGGGCAATACATTTGTGTTTTATGTACATTTCTCTTTGCATGATTTATTTCACAATTTGAGAAGGTTTAGCAATGAGAGATAGAGTCTGCCTTGGATTCATTCTGCTTGGGTTCATATCCGAGCTCTGCTGCTTTCCAACTGTGTAACTTTGGGAAATTTATTTAGCAGCACTGGGCCTCAATTTCATATCTATAATGTGAAGATAATAAACCTATTTTATAAGATTTGTTGCAAAGAAGAGACAAATATTGGAATCTTTGCTAAGATACTAAACACAACAGCTGGCACATAGTAAGGGCTGACTCATTGCCAACTCCTGCTATTGTTTTTGTTGGTATCATTGCTAGTTTATTTGTTGAAAAGAATTTTTAACTCCTATTGGAATTACATTATATTTAGAAATCTATCATGGCTCTCCGTGTAGGCTAGTTTTTTGTTATGGTCTCAGAAATGTTTCCTCTTTTCACTGTCCATGTTATTTCATAAATAATCATCAAGTATTTTATAGTTGTATTTTGTAAAGTAGAATTTGTGCTTTGTAATATATATGTATATGCTATATAGATATATGTATATATAGTATATATGTAGCATATATATGGCATATAATAGCTAATACATATTATGACTTCCTGCTGCCAGCATGGATCTAAGTATTATGTAGTAGTGAAAGTCGTTCAGTCATGTTTGACTCTTTGCAACCCCGTGAACTATAGAGTCCATGGAATTCTTTGGGCCAGTATACTGGAGTGGGTAGCCATTCCCTTCTCCAGGGCGTCTTCCCAACCCAGGGATCAAACATTGATCCTTCTGCATTGTAGGTGGATTCTTTACCAGCTGAGCCACCAGGGAAGCCGAAGCATTACGTCGATGAACACTTGCAGTCCTGTGCAAAACCTGCATTTCACACAGGGAGGGACTGAGTCAGAGTTAAAGATGGCTAGTATGTGGTCTGGGATTCAGTCTGGCCTGGCTTCCCTGATAGCTCAGTTGGTAAAGAATCTGCCTGCAATGCAGGAGACCCTGGTTTGATTCCTGGGTCAGGAAGATCCCCTGGAGAAGGGATAGGCTACCCTCTCCAGTATTCTTGGACTTCCCTTGTGGCTCAGCTGGTAAAGAATCCACCTGCAATGCTGGAGACCTGGGTTCGATCCCTGGGTGGGAAGATCCCTGGAGAAGGGAAAGGCTACCCACTCCAGTATTCTGGCCTGGAGAATTCTATGGACTGTATAGTCCATGGAGTTGCAAAGAGCTGGACCGACTTTCACTTTCAGAGTCCACATCTATCCTACCACTCTATGTTAGGAAAGCTGCTTATTTTTCTATTTTTATTTGGTCACTGGCCAATTTGACTTAATGTGATTTTTAGTTGATTTTCTTAGGTTTCCAGGAAGCTGACTACATCATTTGCAAGTGATATACTATCACTTTTTTAAAGTAATATACTATCACTTTTTAATTTTTTTAGTGATATACTATACTTTTTTTTGGATATACTATTCAATTAGTCTTGTTCTTGCCTTATTGCTTTGATTTTAACTTTCAGAAAAGTGTTTATAAAGATAATAGAGTGGACATTCTGCTGTTAGTCTGATTAAATAGAAATACCTCTTTTTTACATCTATAAGAATGACATGGACTATTGACTCAAGGGTGTTTTCTTTATGTTAATGGTAAATTTTTTAATTTTTGAGTTTACCAAATGGTTTTTCAGTTCATTCTATTTTGTTTTAAAATCAGGGATGGACTTTAAACTATATCTATAAGATGACTGATTGATTTTTCTGTGTCACAATATTAATGTGATGAATTATATTAATATTAATACATAACCTAATATTGAATGGGCTTCCCTGGTGGCTCAGATGGTAAAGAATCCACCTGACATACAGGAGACCCAGGTTCAATCCCTGGGTGGGAAAGATCCCCTGGAGAAGGAAATGGCAACCCACGCCAGTGTCCATGGAGAATTCCATGGACAGAGGATCCTGGTGGGCTACAGTCCATGGGTTGCAAAGAGTCAGGCATGACTAAGTGACTTCACTAATATTGAATCATCTCTCCTTTTCTATAATTTTTAACATAATGCTGAATTTCTTTTGCTAAAATTTTGGTAAGACTTTTGCATGTATAAATACAAGTGAGATTGGCCTGCAGTTCTCTACCATTTTTGTTAGGTTTTGGCATTGGGTGAATTCTAGCTATGTAAAGGGAATCTGGAAGAAGTGTGTCTTTTCATGCTTTATATGCTGCATTTTGGGGCTTCCCTGGTGGCTCAGAGGTTAAAGCGTCTGCCTGGAATGTGGGAGACCCGGGTTCAATCCCTGAGTTGGCAAGATCCCCTGGAGGAGGGCATGGCAACCCACTCCAGTATTGTCTGGAGCATCNTACAATATATCCTTGTGGATTATTTTATACATAATGGTTTATATCTTTTAGTCCCCTACCCCTGTCTCCCTCCTCCCTCCTTTCCTCTCGCCCCTGGTAACCACTAATTTATCCTCTATATCCATTTCTGTTTTGTTATATTCACTGGTTTGTTGTGTTTTTTTTAGATTGCACATATAAGTGATATCATTCAGTGTTTGTTTTTCTCTGATCGCCTTATTTCACTTGGCATAGTCTCCTCCAAGTTCAACCATGGTATTCCAAATGGTAAAATTTCATCATTTTGTATGGCTGAGTAATATTCTGTTGTTTATATATACCACATCTTTATCCACTCATCTTTCGGTGGACATTCAAGTTGCTTCCATATCTTGGGAATTGTAAATAAATGCTGCTGTGGCCATTGGGGGGCATGTAGAGATTGGTATCATTCTTTTCAGCTCTCATCTCACTTTGTCTTTCTCTTGAGTATAATGAGTCTTGCTACTTAAAGCATGGTTTGAGGTTTAGCAGCATGGATACTGCCCAGGAACTTGCTCCACATGGATGCAATCATGCGCACATAACCACAGGCACCAATCACCTTTGCCGTATCTACTGGTTATGGGCAAGTCATAGGTTCTGCCCCCACTCTTGTTGTAGATTTTAAACTACCATTAATCATGTTGTTTTGAGATGTTTGAGTTAGTCCTTGAACTTTTAACAGTTTGTCTAGGGTCCTGGAAGGAGAAGTCAAAGTGTATAAAGTTTTTAAAGGCTTGCATGACTGTCATCTAGTTGCTTTTCAGAAAATCAGTACCTTCTTTTTTACACGATAGACAGACAAATGGCAACACTGACAGTTCATCAGTGTGCCTTTTCTGCCGACTAGGGATCATTAAATAGTAAGAAAGCAGGAAAGAGGAAAAGTGTAAGTTAAAAATCCTTATCATAAATAGTTTGAGTGATTGATAACAGAGAGCCTGAAGGTTATTTGAATTCATTTTTGACAGTCTAAAACTATTTAGTCAATTTACTATTTCTGACCAAATGGAATCAGTATATTTGTTAAGAAACTTTTGGGTGTCTTATCTAGTGTTAATGACTCAGACAGTAAAGAATTTGCCTGCAATGCAGGAGACCCAGGTTCTATCCCTGAGTCAGGAAATCCCCTGGAGAAGGGAATAAGGGCTAACCAGTACAGTAGTCTTGTCTGGAGAATCCCATGGACAGAGAGCCTGGCGGGCTACAGTCCATGGGGTTGCAAAGAGTCAGATATGACTGAGCAACTAGCACTTATCTAGTGTTAAATACTATTAGTGAGAGAAGAGAAATATGCCAGTATTTGTGCCTATAAGGCTTCTGGGAGTCTTATGATATTGTTTACTTTTTTTTCATCTTTCTACAAAGTGTAAACTTCAATTTTTAAAAGTTCATACCGGATTTCACATTGCCTGGGTTTTCTGTGGGTTGAAATTTGAAAATCTTCCAAGGTGATTAAAAACAAAGTTGTCTTTTCCTGTCTTTTAGCAACAACGTACTGTCTACAGACTGACTCTAGTGAAGGCATGGAATGTGGATGAGCTCCAGGCCTATGCCGAGCTGGTGTCCCTGGGGAACCCTGACTTCATCGAGGTGAAGGTAAGCCCCTGCTGGCCAGTGCTGGGCACACTTCCCCTGACACTTTGCTGGCTACGGTGGAGTTGAAGTGAAGTGAAGTCACTCCGTCGTTTCCGACTCTTTGTGACCCCATGGACTTTAGCCTACCAGGATCCTCAGTCCATGGGATTTTCCAGGCAAGAATACTGGAGTGGGTTGCCATTTCCTTCTCCAGGGGATCTTCCTGACCCAGGGATCGAACCTGGGTCTCCCACATTGTAGGCAGACACTTTACCGTCTGAGCTACCAGGGAAGCCCTTCTAAAACCCTACATGAGGTCCTGGATGTTTGATTTATTCATGCAAAAATATTAATCAAGATCCTGGCACTGTTCTAGCCACTGGGGATAAGAACAGTAAAGACCAAGCATTTGCTCTCACATATAAAAACCTTCTATTTTAGTGAGCCATAGACTGTCAAGAGAAAATAAATATACTGTCCACTGCATAGTAACTTTAATATGCGGAGAAGTAGAACAGTATTAGAGTGAGTAATTGACTTTTAAATAAACCTTTGCTATGGAAAACTTCAAATATATACAAAAGTAGCGAGACTGATGTAATGAACCCCCATCCATCCATTACCCAGCTTCAAAAATTACCAGCTCATGTTTCAACTGTACTCCTACCCATTTTCCTGCCCTTACCTATTATTTTCAAGCAAATCCTCACATTATACCATTACCTATAGCTGATTCAGTGTGTATTTTTGAAAGATATGCACTCACTTTAAGCACTTATTCAGAGTACTGTTCTTACAACTAAATAGTTTTAATCGTAATTTCTTAAGTTTTGGGGCATATAAGGTTTCAAACTCAACCAATTAACAGTATTTTTTTAGTTGAAATAGAGTTGGTTTACAATATTGTATTAGTTTCAGGTATATAGCAAAGTAATTCAGTTATATATGTTTTTTCAGGTTCTTTTTTATTATAGCTTATTATAAGATATTGAATATAGTTCCCTGTGTTATATAGTAAATCCTTGCTGCTTGTCTATTTTATGTATAGCAGTGTTTGTTTATTAATCCTATACTCATAATTTACTCTTCCCTTTCCCCTTTGGTAATAACTAAGTTTGTTTTCTATGTCTGTGAGTCTGTTTCTATTTGTATGTAGATTCATTTGTATTTTTTTCAAGATTCTTCACATAAATGATCCCCTGTAACATTTGTCTTTTTTTTACTTACTTCACTTAGTATGATATTCTCTAGATGATCTATGTTACTGCAAATGGTAATATTTCATTCTTTTTAATGCCTGAGTAATATTTCATTGTGTGTATGTACATCATATCCTCTTAAACCAACTGTCTTGGTTATTTGAAAATCTAGATCCAAGTAAGGGTTAGAATTGGATTGTTTCTGTCTTTAATTTTTTTAGGCTATTAGTTCTGCTTCCATGGGTTTTTTGTTCCCCTAGTAATTTATGTTGTTGGAAAAAATGGGTCATTTATCCTGGTTAGTTCCCTGTATTTAAATTTTAAAACAAAAATTTATTTTTTGACCTATTACATATTCTTCTGCCCCATATATTTTCTGTGGGTTGGTAATTAGATCAAAAGAAGATTGATCATGTGTGTGTGTGTATGTGTGTGTGAGTGTGTGTGTGAGTGTGTGTGTTTGCATTTCAAGACTATTTCATTGGTGGTGATTTTCAGCAGGCGGCATTTAATGTCATGTTTTTGCCAGTGTTTCTTTGGGATAGATACCTGTAAGTGGATTGATGTGTGAGAGGATACATGGATATGCTGTTTTGCTAGATATTGTGGTTGACTGTTTTAGATTTCATAAGCAGGAAGGTTTTTTGAGGAGATGACTCTTAAAAATTGATACTTGAGTAAGAAGAAGCAACACAATATTCAAAGGCTTGGGGTCAGAGAATTCTGGGCAGATGACACAGCTAGTCTGCAAGAGGGCCTTTGTGACCTCTGGGGCTGTTGGAGTTGCCTGTGGTACAGGATGAATCAGAGAAGGGGGCTGGGGCCAGATTTGGTTGGGCCTTTCACACAAGGATGAGAGAATCAGATTTTATACTAAGTTTAATGATAAAACTTTTTTTTATACCTGGTGTACTTGGAAAGGATTTTAATAGCTAGAGAGTGATGAGATCTGATTTATGATTTTAAAAGATCACCCTGCTGTTGCCGTGAGTTGGTTACAAGGGCAGTAGTAGAAGTAGGTAGACCAGTAACAAAACTTTTGCCAAGGAAGAGGTGTGATGGCTTGGGGAAGGTCTTTGGTGATATAGTTGGAGAGGAGTGGGTGCTTTCGTGATGAATTTTGAAAGTAGATCCAACCAAACTTGTTAGATGATGTAGGGAATGACAGAACAAAAGGAATCAAAATAGTACCTAGGTTCTTGGCTTAAGCAACTGTGTGGATGTGGCACAGTTTGCTGATGTGGAAAAGACCAATGGGGAAGGGAGACCGATTTGGGGAGCGATTTCATGAGTTTTTGTGTCAGCCTGAGTAATTTGAGATAGCTTTTAAATATCTAAGGGTAGGTTCAAATAAGCCATAGGTTATATAAGCCTGGAGTCCTGGGGATGAGACAGGCCTGGCAATAATGACTTGGAAGTCATCAGCGTGAGATAGTAAGTAGTTAAAGCTGTAGAATATTAAGAGGCAGATAATATGCTAGGCTTTCATGGACAACTAAGAATATGCAAAAAATGAGAGAAAGTGACCAGAAAATTCACCTAGTCTGTCAGAGCTCCACTCTTCAGTTCATGTTTATGAAGCTGGGTGCACTCTGTTATATCAAAGGATATTTCAGTTTTAGAGCTATCTTTTAGTAAGTTCAGCATTCTGTATGACTGTCTTCTGTAGGGATGGGGAGGTTGGAGCAGATGAAATATTGCTGTCTGAGTGTGTAGCAATCTCTAGTCAGGTCAAAGACACTTTTAAAGTTGTTCTTAATTTCAAAAGGCTCCTCTTGGCAAGAACTCTAATGATGCAGCGATACAAACTACATCTTAAATATATGCCTTGGCTTAACAAAACTTTGCCAGTGTCAATGATTAGTGGTGGTTTAATTTATGACTTAGCAATTAAAGAATGTTGCTTCAAATTATATTGCAGTAAAACATCTATTATTAAGCAACTTGGCTGGATCACACCATCACCTTTTTTTCTCCTTCCTTCTTTCTTTGCAGTGATGTTTTCTGTAATGAACAAGATATTTTATAATCTGAAAAGAATCAACCAGAATTATTTTTTAATGAAAGATGACCACTTTGTAAACAGTGTAATTCTCTGATGGGCATTTTGTATTTGGATAAACTATTACTATGACTCGGAAATAGATGAAGCCTTCTTGCCTATAGCTGAGATGTTATAATAACATAGTTTCTTTCAAACAAGATTTCCATTTTACTGTTTTATCCCTGCGTTTAACAAATATTTCTGTGCTCTCTCCACGCGCCAGGCCTCGTCAAAGCACCATAGGTACAGAGTTTGTGCCTAAATTTGGATATGCTATTTGGGAAATGGATGTCTTGCTGAGCAAGGCCACATCTACAGAAGTAAAATGAGCTACTTGGAGAGACTTTTTCTTTTTAATTGAAAAATTCTTGGAGAAGTGTGTAATCTAATCACGATGTAAAATGCCATATTTAAATTTTTTAAATGTAGGGTAATAAAAAACAGTTTGTGTTGTATCAGGAGAAAGTATGTGATGGTCACTTGACTCTGTAATATCACGTACCTGGGCATTTTTTTAATATTGATTGGTTGATTTTTGGCTGTGCTGGGTCTTCGTTCTTGTGCGCGGGCGATCTCATTGTGGTGGTATCTCTTGTTGTGGAGTCTGGGCTCTGGGCCCAAAGACATCAGTAGCTGTGACATGTGGGTTCAGTTGCCCCATGGCATGTGGGATCTTCCCGGACTAGGGGTTGAACCAGTGTCCCTTGCATTGACAACAAATAATTACTGCACTTACTCATCTCAAGGTGCATTGCAGGGTGAATTCTCAACCACCAGACCACCACCAGGGAAGCCCCTCAAGTATCTGGGCCTTTGAGGATTAGATCACATGGTTTATTAAATTCATCTCTCATTTGTCCAGCAAGTCAATGAAGTATGTTTTTTTTTAACTGAAGTAGGAAAAGGAATGTTTATAGAAGATAGTATATTATTAAGAAGCAAAGCAAGTTATAGAATAATTATTGTTTGAGTAAATTTTCACAGTATATGTTTACATACATTTATATAAGGAAAGTGTGGAAGGATACATATCAGACTGTTAACTGTTCTATTTGGGAGAAGGAGAAGGAAAGGCTTGTTTTACTTTTCATATTTCTGTGTTGTGTTGAATTGTTGCAGTGAGCATGCGTTACTTTTTATAATTCACATGACTGAAGCGAAATCAGTAAATGGAGAAGGCCTGCTTTCCTGTTAAGTAGAGTTCAAGTATTTCATGCCTGAAAAGGGAACTTTTTGTTGTTTTTTCTTATTAAAGTTAAATTTTTCTAAAGTGGAAGAGTTTTAAAAATAATAACAATAAACCCACTCCAAAAAACAACTGATAAGAGACAGCAGTACGGCAGCTTAAGATAACCTCAGCTTGCTCTAAAAACAAACTTTTAGAAGTAAGCGTTACGGTAAACATACTTTTGAGAGAGCTGTCAATCTGTCAGGCCTGTAAGGGAATTCCCTAGGGGCTGGAAGAAGGGAGACTGCCGGGTGGTACTCACTCCACAGCTCCGGTAGAGACAGGATGTGGGTGTGAAGGCAGAAGACTAGGCCCTTTGACCTTTAGCAAACAGACGAATTAGGAAAATATTTGCACGCTGACACCAAGTGGCACCTAGAGATTTATCTCCTACCTGTGAGGTGAAGTGTTAGTCGCACAGTTGTGTCCAACTTTTTGTGACCCTGCAGATTGTAGCCCACCAGCCTCCTCTGTCCATGGGATTTTCCAGGCAAGAATACTGGAGTGGGTAACCATTCCTTCTCCAGAGTATCTTCCTGACACAGGGATGAACCCGCATCTCCTTCATGGGCAGGCAGATTCTTTACCGTCTGAGCCAGCAGAGAAGCCCATCCCTTACCTATCTCTTGTTAAAAAAAAAATGTCTCCCAGGGTCTAACCTTCAAAAGGAGTTAGTGTTAAAGCTTAATAGTACCTCAAGCTCACATGAATTTCCCGAAGATGTGAAATTGATAATACAGGATGACCCTGGGATAGTGATATGCCTGGGGCTCTCAGATACCATTCATATCCTTTCCCTGGATTTCCTGGATGTGTGTGTGAATGTGGAGGGTGTAGCAGTGTCTCTCGTAGTCTCCAGTGGGGAAGATATGTGAACTTTGCTGTATTCTTAAAAGGTACTGATGTCACCTGGGACAGATTACTTACCTACATTGAGCCTAAATTTCCTCAGTATTAAAATTAGACTAATAATTTCAATTTAATAGCTTTGGTTGAGAATTCAAGGGGGTAACATATGCCTGGGTTCAATAACTGCTTAGATCACTTTCCATCAAGCATATTATTAAAAATGAATCAATAGAGGCTGCTTATTATATTGATTTTCTCTTTACTTTCAGTTTTAGTCTCATAAAACATCTCTCTGTTCCATTCCCTGTAAATTATCATGTATTTTGGGTTCATTAGGCTTAAATGGGCCTCTGTTTGCTAGCCTGAGAAAGTTAACCATCGTTATTTGCTTACTTGTTTAAGAAAATGTGTTTGGCGTTGTAAACATCTGCCTTATTGAGAAGCTTTCATAGCACAATCCATTTTGTACATGAAATACTGTCTTTGTATTCTGTGCCTAGCACTGCACCTTGAGATGAGTAAGTGCAGTAATTATTTGTTGTCAAATGATTTAAAACCTTCCTCCTGTTAGTACTGTGACTCTCGACAGAGCTCAGTCCTTGCAGAATGCACCTTGCAAAATAAATGGCTTAGCATAACTCGCCCTCTTTCTGCACACAAATGTAAGGAATATTGGTCATATTGGTCAGATTCCTTACAACTGTTAGTTGTTCAAGTATGCAGCAGTACCTGAGCAGTGGTTTCAGTTGGTTCATAACCATTAAAGAGCAGAAAAGTCATGAAACATATGAAGGAAATTTTGTATTAGAAAAGAGTTATGAAGTCTAATGTCATGGAAGAAATCTGTGAATTGATCTTAGAACAGATTGGTTGAGGGTACAGAGAAGAACAAGGTACAGTTTCTGCCCTTTGAGAGCTCAGGATTTATGCCTGTTATGTGATAAGAGATATGCATAAGACATGATGAATTTGGGATTAGATGGGATGGGGGTTCCTGGCTGAAGATCAAAGAAATGTGGAGAATTTAGCTGGGGAAAGACTAGATGCTGAGTCTAGTAAGAAAGGCCTCAGGTGCTATGCTGAGAAATTTGGGCTGGTTTTGGGGGTGGGGGGGGTGGGCAGTGATTGAAGCATTTTTAAGAGAGTGACATGTATTGCTGCAAAAAATCACAAAGACATTTCTTCTGTCCTCAGATGATCAAGGACAAAAGAATATCAGAAGCTTTTTGATACGCAGTCAGTATAATTAGAATTTCAAGAGCCAAAATACTGCTCTTCCCATAGACTTTGAATCCTCAGGTGAACTTTCTAAGCAGCCTATAAAAAAGACCTGGTGGTCCCCAGCTCCTTGAGCAGAGTGGTCCCTCCAGAAGACATCAGTGTACTGTAATGGTGTGTGCGTGTGTGTGTGAGTCACTTAGTTGTGTCCGACTCTCTGTGACCCCAGGATCTGTAGCCCACCAGGCTTCTCTGTCCTTGGGATTCTCCAGGCCAGAATACTAGAGTGGGTCGCTGTTTCCTTCTCCAAATGGAATGGTGTGGGTGGTGCTTTTCATCGCAAATATGAAGACACGTAAGTGGTCCTGCTCCTGGGGAACTTTCTCTGGATCTGCCTGTCACCGCTCAGCCTGCAGATATCTGGAGCGAGTGCTTTCAGCCGCCACATCGTTCCCATTTGTTTCCTTAAGGACGCTGTTTTTTCAGAGTTGTGAGGAAAGAACACGGTGCTGGTGATAAATGGGGTGGGGTCGTGCTGCTAGGAGAAGGCGGCAGAGAGCTGTGGTATGAGGGAAAATGAAACATCTTGAGACAGTTCAGGGGCAAGTGCGATCAGGAATCAGGTCCAGGCGGGTCAGCGGTAGACAGGAGTGTGGCGTGATGTGAAGTAGCCCGAGCAGAGTGGGGGGCGCCGGAGGGGCAGCTGCGGGAGACCAGCTCACTGCTGGGTACCTGCTTTGTTGCACAGTCGTGTCCGACTCTTTGCAACCCCATGTGTTGTAGCCCGCCAGGCTCCTCTGTCCGTGGGGACTCTCCAGGCAAGAATGCTGGAGTGGGTTGCCATGCCCTCCTCCAGGGGATCTTCCCAACCCAGGGATCGAACCCAGGTCTCCCTCATTGCAGGTGGATTCTTTACCCTCTGAGCCACCAGGGAAGGCCCCGGTTTACTGGGGCCGGTTTCTACCTGTTGCAGCTGTGTCATGATGAAGGCTTGGGCTCTGTAGTTGGCTCAGGAAGTAACCCATACTGCCCACCTCTGAGGATTTTGTTTGGCTAAGAAGAGAATTTTTACAAGAAAATGCTTTGTTAATTAAAAGCTGTAATGTGAACATATAGAGAAAGTATTAGTGAAGGCCAAGTGATGACCTGTGACAGTCACTCTTTCATTTCCTTTCCAAACCAAATCCCTCCTTAGCATATTGTGCTTTATTATTGCTGAATAATCAATGTTAAGTGAAAATGGCTCAGTCGTGTCCGACTCTTTGCAACCCCATAGGGTATACAGTCCATGAAATTCTCCAGGCCAGAATACTGGAGTGGGTAGCCTTTCCCTTCTCTAGGGGATCTTCCTAACCCAGGAATCGAACCGAGGTTTCCTGCATTGCAGGCAGAATCTTGTCAGCTGAGCTACAAGGGAAGCCCAAGAATACTGGAGTGGGTAACCTATCCCTTCTGCAGGGGATCTTCCCAATCCAGGAATCGAACCAAGGTCTCCTGCATTGCAGGTAATTCCTTTCCAGCTGAATCTCAAGGGAAGCCCAAGTACAGAGCATAATCTGCACCACCCAGGAATCTTGCATGATAACTACTACACCAGCGGCATGGCTAAATCAATTAAGCTATTTTCCAAAGCCACTGTCATGAATATAAGATCTTACCTAAAACCCCTGCTTCAGTGAATTAAGGTAAATATTAAAAATAAATTCCTCTGAATTAGCCACTATCTGCTTGGTTATTCATATAATTCGTCCATCATAAACAGTATTTAAAGTGAAGTAAAATTCATATTTATGGCTAATTTGACTTATGAATAAGTCATTTTTGTGTGTTTTTAATACATTTGGGCAAGTTCAGTACAGTTTTCCAACTACGCTTTCTTAAAGATTTTTTAAACTACTCTTTGCTTTTTTTATTCAGCTAAAACCCGAACTCAGTTTATATGAATTCTGTAAATCATTGGGCTAATAGAGAAGATTCTTTAGTTTATTGAAATTAAGCTGGGTTGCCTCTAGTTTATGTTCAGCTAAGGTCATCTCAGTGTAGTGTACAGTAGTCTTTGAACAGCCAGCTGGAGTGGAGGGTTTTGCAGAACTCATCTGCATTTTTGGCCCCCTCCCAGCTCTGCCATCTGTAGGGTCACGATCACTCTGCTTTGCCCATTGTGAGCTTTTCGTTTAAAGTCTTTCTATCCCCTCCAGTCTGTGTATGTGTGTGTCTCAGAGAGAGCATCTTTTTTAATTTTAGTTATTCTCTACTTAGTAGCAGCATATCTAGACTATTCAAATATTTTTTTCAAGTAAGTTTGATTTCTTAGGTATTTAGAGAACCTACAAAGTTAAGATATTCCTTATTATTGAAAATTAGTCATTACTCGCTTATCACTATGTAACTTACCAGTCAAAGAAATTAGTTATGGAACTTTTGGGTCTTAGATGCTTGGGCTGTTAGGTAGAATTCAAAAGAGTTAAAAATCAATTTATCTTAATGCTTTTGTACTGAATGAGAAAATCTCTGTAGGGGTGGATACATGTATATATGTGTGTGTGTGTATATATATATATGTATTTCTACAAACGTATTTTCATTTTGGCATGATTGTGTGTTTATATTGGGTTGGCCAAAAAGTTTGTTTGAGTTTTCCCATAATATGTGAAAAACTTGAACGAACTTTTTGGCCAACCCAATACACATCCACATGCAAAATATATTACAAAGCGATCTCTTTAGAGAATAATTTGAAAGGATTCCCTATCTGGCCCTTTACAGAAAGTTTATCAGCCTCAGGTTTCCCTGATAGCTCAGTTGATAAAGAATCTGCCTGCAATGCAGGAGACCCTGGTTCCATTCCTGGTTCAGAAAGATCCACTGGAGAAGGCATAGGCTACCCACTCCAGTATTCTTGGGCTTCTCTTGTGGCTCAGCTGGTAAAGAATCCACCTGCAGTGTGGGAGACCTGAGTTCAATCCCTGGGTTGGGAAGATCCCNCCCATGGACTATACAGTCCATGGAATTCTCCAGGCCAGAATACTGGAGTGGGTAGCTGTTCTCTTCTCCAGGGGATCTCCCCAACCCAGGGATTGAACCCGGGTCTCCTGCATTGCAGGCAGATTCTTTACCATCTGAGCCACCAGGGAAGCCCTGGATTGGTTTGTTGGATGACCTCTAGAAGCGTGTCTGGGTCTGAAGCTCTTAATCTGTGACATCTGAATAGGCCCATAACTGTCTCTGTTTCCACAGGGTGTTACCTACTGTGGAGAGAGTTCGGCGAGCAGTCTTACCATGGCCAACGTGCCCTGGCATGAGGAGGTGGTGCGCTTTGTCTGTGAGTTGGTGGATCTGATCCCTGACTATGAAATCGCTTGTGAACACGAGCATTCCAACTGTCTTCTAATAGCTCACAAGAAGGTAAGAACAGCTCAGGTATGCGTTCTTCCATCACCCTTGTCCTTCTTGCTCCCTTCTCTTTTCTCTTTATTGTTCCCCTCACCTTATTATAATGAAATTCTACTTGTTTGCTACCTTTCCTATAATGAACTTTAAGAAAACCCTGAATTCTGTCTGTTGGACTCATAAACCCTCTTTTCTGTGTGAGAGTGCTTCATTTTCAGCCCTCACTCAGGCACTTGAAGTGCCTTCTGGCTTGTAACTGGCGCATCCTGAGATACAAAACAAAACACCCTTGTAATAACCTCTAGTCCTTTACCCAGAATGACAAGGGAAAGCTAAAATAGTAAACAACCCTCATATGACGGTTTTTTGCTGTCAGAAGAAATATTGAGGTGTTTATCAAATTTTAGATCACTTTGAATCCCGGCCTCTGCAGAAATGTTTCTGGGATGTTGGTTTTCCTTTTTCCTCTTTAGTGTTTTTAGTACACAGAAAAAGTACCTAAATTTAATGTATTTTTTAAAGTAAATAATGCCTAGCAAAGGAAAAATTCAGTTTTTGGTAGAGGTAGGCTCTTAAAAAGAAAAAAGTACCCAATCAGAAGTCCAGTGTTAGAGTAGCAATCATACTGATATGCCCTTACTGAAATATTTATACAGAAATAGCACAGTATCTTGGGTTTGATTCAAAATGGTATTAGGTGAGAAGTATATGGGTGTGTTGATGGGCTGAGGGCTTTTGAGGCTAACTGATGGATACATAGAGGCTCATTTTACTTCTCTGCTGAGTTTTCTATTTATACTTTCTTTTTTTTTGTTGTTCATATTTTCCTTTTTTAAAAAAAGTGGACATGGTTGAACCTTGAAAACATTATTCCAGATGCAAAATGGACACAAAAGGCCACATGATATATGGTTCTGTTTATATGAAATGTCCAGACAGATCAATCCTTAGAGTCAGAACGTGGTTTAGTGGTTGATGGGGGTTGGGGGAAGAGCAGGTCAGAAAGTAACTGCTAATAGGTATGGGATTTATTTTTGGGTTATGAAAATGCTCTGGAATTACATAGTAGTGTTGGTTGCACAACTTTGTGGCTGTATGAAAACCTACCGAATTGTATACTGTAAAAGTTGAATTTTATGGTTTGTGAATTATATCACTATAAGGATAAATTAATACCAAAAAGGTTAAAGAATGGGCTTACCTTTTCTTATAAAAATGTTTTTTATGCGAGTCAAGTCAGGCTTCATCAATTCAAACATGAGTCTCACTTTTTCCTCCCTACAACCTAAGCGGCTTCCAGAACAGCTTCATAGGTTAATGATATTTAATAATATTAGAAGTGCTCAATTAAAATGTCACTTGATCTAGGCTCAAACAAACAGGAGGTTAAAGGCCCTCATGCCTTAGTCGCAGTGAGATTATATATATCTGACCTAATGATCTGTCAAACTTAAATATTTAGACAGAAGAATGTGTTCTAGGAGCATCAGGGAACAAAGAAATAAAAGCCGCCTAGTATTTGAAATGTTCATTAAAGTAGCTGCAAAGACAGTTAACTTACAAAGTAAATCTTAAAAAATTAAAGCCAAAAACCAGAATTTTATTTTCTAGCTTTTTAATCACTGTTTCTTTTTCAGGTAAGATAGTACCTTTAAAAAAATTACTTGATTGGATGGGCAGTGCCCTGGAAATAGTCCTGACAATGGTGGCAAAGTTCTCTCTTCCTCCCTTAAGTCTGGTCTTCACACCATAGCCAAAGAAGTCTTTGTAGAGCGTAGATCTCTTTCTCCCTTTGATTGACCTCCCATTGCTTTTAGTATGAAAATCAAAATCCTGTAATGTGGCTCCCAGCATCATGTGTGATCAGTCTCTGTCTGCCTCTCCAGCTTCTTCTGGAACCCCTCTTCCTTCCCTTTCTGCACTTTTTTTCCTTTTCTCAGCCATAGTAGGCCTTAGTTTTGCTCCAGGTAGGCTGGGAATTGTATACTTTTTCTATTCTTTTAGTGGATGTACTAAAGATTACTATTAACATGCATTCTGTACATAATTATTTTGAACTGCTGTCCTATATTGCCTGATTGTTTTCTTCTCTCCTCCACTCAATTAAGCCTCTCTAAACTTCATCTCGAAACTGAGACTAATAATACTGACTTTAGATGTTATTGTTAAGAATAAAGTTAATATATTTGAAGTACTCAGAAGGGAACCTAAAATAAAATCAGCAGTTCGTAAATAATAGTTGTTACTGATGCTTTTATTGGCCTGCGCATATCCACAGGGAGCCCTCAGAAGATGGCCAAGCAAATTACTGAAATCTAGTGTGATAAATGCAACAACAGACATAGGTAGAAAGTACACGCCAGACAGAAGAGAGAGTCTGAGATTGACCTTCATTATTTTCTTTAATGTGTGTTGAGTATCCAGATGTGTCAAGCACTGTGTTGACATAAAGATGAGTTTAAAAAAAAGATCCCTGCCTTTGAGAATAGTCTACCAAAAAAGACAAACATCTAAACAAATAAATGCCCGCAAATTATTTTAGATCAATGATGAAAGATTAGAATGGAGCCCAAAGGAGAGCATACTTGGGACTATGGTACTATCAGGAGAGATTTCACAGAGGAGTTGCTGTTTGATTGGGTCTTAAATGATGGCCAAGATGTGGTCCACGAGGAAATGTGGAGCCCTGACACATTGGAACAACTCCAAAGTAGTTTGGTGTGGCAGGAGATCAAGAGAAGGGCTAAAAGGAGCAGGGGTGATTTGGCAGGGGCAAGATCACTGATGGCATTGAATGATATCCTAAATGTGCTTTTTTTCATATGGTGTGGGCAGGCACCTAAGAGTTTTAAGTAGGGGAGTGACATGATCAGATTGGAATTGCAGAAAAATTTCTCTAGCAACATTATAAAGGATGAATAACAAGACAGAGAAACCAGTTAAAACGGGTTGTGAAAGTCCAGCAGTCTGAAGGCTAAATGCTGAGGGTCTGAAGCAAATTGGTGTGAAGGGGAAGAGTGGGGAGGAGGTGGTCTTGGGGAAGTACTGAGTGAGGGCTGTTACATTAAAGAGTCTGCGGAGTCAAGCGTGACCCCCTGGTTTCTGACTTCAGTACGTGGTTGATAGTGACTGTGAACTTCACTGAGGTCATACTGTTTGCATATTGCTTTTTATTGGTTTGCTCAGGGACGTAGGGTAGGGAGTGGATAAGTTCACTGTAGTATCAGCAAGCAGTTCCAGTAGAATATAGATATCAGATGATGGAGTCAACAAGTTGTGCTTAGAAAGCACGGTCAGTGAGAGAGGTGGTCAAGGTGAGAACTCCAGTATGCTCACCCTGAGGTGTCTGTACCCTAGCACAGAGCACTCTCATTTTCTCTCTCTCTTTTTTTTTCCCCATTTATTTTTATTAGTTGGAGGCTAATTATTTTTCAATATTGTAGTGGTTTTTGCCATACATTGACATGAATCAGCCATAGATTTACATGTGTTCCCCTTCCCAACCCCCCCTCCTGCCTCCCTCTCCATCCCATCCCTCTGGGTCTTCCCAGTGCACCAGCCCTGAGCACTTGTCTCATGCATCCAACCTGGGCTGGTGATCTGTTTCATCCTTGATAGTATACTTGTTTCAGTGCTCTTCTCTCAGAACATCCCACTCTTGCCTTCTCCCACAGAGTCTAAAAGTCTGTTCTGTACATCTGTGTCTCTTTTTCTGTTTTGTATATAGGGTTATTGTTATCATTTTTTAAAATTCCATATATATGCATTAGTATACTGTATTGGTCTTTATCTTTCTGGCTTACTTCACTCTGTATAATGG